TGGGACCTACAGAATGTTGCTGTATTTACAGTCCTTGCCAGCTATAAAGGACCCATCTCCAAAGCAACTGTACGAGCATCCTTGGCAGGACAGGAGCTGAGGGAAAACCCAGAGAGGGAGAGCGACTCAAATGGGCCACACAGCAGAGCAGAGGAGACCTGGGCTGAAGCCATGACGCAGAAAGAAGGGCTGCCCTCCGCCTCTGTGTTCCTTCTGTTCTGCTGTCCTGGGGCACAGATCCAAGGCCGGACACATTGGTCAAGTACTGCACCTCCAAGCTGACCCAAGCCCCCGCCGCCCAAACTTCTCTCCTTGGTCTCACTCCATCCAGCCCAAGCCCACAGATCAAAGAGTGAGCTGGCAGAATGGGGGCAAAGGTCCAACACTTGAACAATCCACCAGGAGACTAAGACGCAAAGATGATGCCAAGCGAGGCCCAATATGCAAACCAGGCTTGAGGCCCCACCGAGCTTGTGGCCCCAAAGCCCTGTCCCCACTCACCAGGGTCTCCTCTGTGTACTTGATGGACTGGGTGTGGTGCCGCATGAAGCCCACAGTGAGGGAGAGGTAGATGACAGCAAAGACAGCATGCAGCCAGAGCAGGTCATTGCTGTGGGGACAGCGCGGGCAGGACCAATGGCTCCGTTATCCCAGATGCCTCCAAAGACCCAGTGAATATCAGGGAGAGGCCGGGACCTGCTGGCCTCCCTGTTCCCTAAGAGCCTTGCAACACCCACAGACACCGGCCTGTCCACCCTCGTCTGTGCATCTGCCTCCTCATGGACTTGCCCATCTGAAGCCCACTCCCGGGGCCCACACTCACTGGGTCTCCAGGTTTGCTATGGTTGTCCTTCCAAAACTGTAGGGGTCTTTGTCTGTGGAGAAGCACACAGGGCCATGATGGGGACAGAGCACACCTGCCTCTGCTGAGGGAGCCCTGGGGAGGTGCAGCACTGTGCCCGCAGTCTTTTCAGAGGTGCACCAGTCAGGGCCTCTACTGGGCTCCAAGGTGCTCCCTGACAACTTCTCAACCTGCCACGCTGAGGCAGAGTTCACACTCTTCTCCCTTGGAGACTTTTCTCTCTTTTAGATGCTTTGAGAGAACTAGAAATATCCTAAGCTGTTACCAAGACCAAGCTATGGAATCAGTAGGCATACAAATGTTTCCATGGTGGCATTTGGAAGCTGGGGAGATACACTTCCACACTGATATTGACTGAGCGTCACAGACATCTTCCCAGTCCAGAAACTGTGGCCTCCTGAATTGGGTGAAGGTAGGAAAGTGTAAAACACTTTCTGAAGCCCCTTTATCCTATCAACCTCTACGTTTAAAAATCCTATTTAGACAGAAGCAGAAATTGGTATTAGGGGCCCCAGTTCTAGGCCTGGGTTTGGGGCTGATTCTCCTCCAGACCTTTACTCAGACAGGATCCTTCTCAGTCATCCCAAAACCACCTCCCATCCGGAATGGGGCTTGACTGCGGGGTTATGCTTTACCACAGTGAGTGCCTGTCTCAGCTCCCT